GGACTGCCCGAAGTATGGGCCCCAATAGGCCACTGCAGTTTCCTCATTCTTATGTTCTTATGTTCTTATGTTCTATGACCTCCTCCTACAGGTCCCAGCCGTTACCAGCACCTCCTCCTCCTGACCAGATGTCCCCCCCCTCCTAGTCACAGGCCTGGCACTTGACATTATTAGGGACCTGCCACGCTTTGCTATAAACAGATGAAATGTACCGGGAATTTTCCCCCCACACACTCATCATTCTGTCACTTTATGTAACTTGCTGACAAAACCTATGACCCTTCAGGTTTCCACGCCCTTAATGCATAAAGGGCGTGGAAGGGGATGCCCAATAAACTAGCTCCCTCTGGGGCAATCTGTAATCTGTCTCTACTTCTTATCACGGTGACTCGTCAGTTTTCTTGGAGAACATCAGTCGTATTTATATTTATCTACAGCTGATTACTTTTTTCCTGCTCGCATGTTTCATTAATATCCTCCATTCTTATACGTCTTCCTTCTACTGTTGTTTCACCATTATGTACCTGATCCTTTCTGTGTGATATATGTTATTCTCATGTGATTGTAATATAGTTAAGTTCTTGCGGACGTCTAGTTTTCTGGAGGAGATGACACGTTTATTTCTTTCCCCATGAAAAGCAATAATTCGATGTATAATTTTCATTGATCCACCGAGATACACTCTTCTGTCCAACCCTGAACGCTCAGCAATTTTTCCCACTGTAATGCTGTTTTATTCTGGTAACCCCTATCTACAAGTTAAGTGGCTGATAACCTAAAAACAACTACACACATCCATAATCAGTAATACTCCGTAATAACAAACCCCTTTTCTATGCTAGAACAGTTATACATAATTACCTTAATGCAATAAAATAGCAAAATCCGGTATGTTTGGACCATGTATAGTTAGTTCGGTCCCTCAAACTACTAAATATTAATGTTGTTTTCAAATATGACTCAACCATTACTAATATGTTAATAAAAAATAGCCCAAGTTTGAATGTAAATGGAAGTGTTTATTGTATTCCATGTAGCAAACGTAATGGTAATTATGTAGGACAGACAGGAAAAACATTGCAGCTCAAAATCAGACAACATAAGTACAATATCAGAACAGCATCTGAAAGCAGTGCCCTGTTCGTTCATGTTAGGAATAATAATCATCCCATTGCTTGGGAAAAAAGCTTAGAAGTATTCAAATCATCTTGTGTCACAGAAAGACTTCTGGTTGAAGCTAGTTTGATTAAAGAATTAAAATCAATAAACCTTAGTGATGGTCAGTTCAAAACTGATAACACTGGTCTACAAATTTTTTTTTCTGGCATGAAACCTTTTAACTGTTTTTTACTAACTTTAAGGTGCTGAATCCAAATCTGATCTCAGATTTGCTCCATCACGTAACGTGCCAGAATTTACTGAGCTACCAGAGATTGAGGATATAGACCGGAATTCACCTGTTTCTACTGATGAAGATGAAGAGATTGATCTTTTCAAGCCATCTGGTGAAGATTGTGAAAAGCCAACGTTGTTTACTCAGTCAGAATTGAATGATCTGGTCAGAGATCTAAATTTGCCAAAACAGTCTGCTAAATTGTTAGCTTCCAGGCTTCAAGAGAAACGACTCTTAAAACCTGGCACGAGTGTCTCCTTTTATCGCAACAGAGAAGAGCAACTGCGGAAGTACTTTCATTCATATGACCAGCTTGTTTTTTGTAATGATGTAGAAGGACTTCTTCTCTCCATGGGACTACCAGCATATGAGAGTAAGGATTGGAGACTTTTTATTGACAGTTCTAAAAGGAGCTTGAAATGTGTTCTTTTTCATAACGGAAACAAGTATGGTTCAATTCCAATCGGACATTCTGTACAAATTAAAGAAGAGTATGAAAACATTAAGACTGTTCTAGAGAGGTTGCAATACCATGCTCATGAATGGTTAATTTGTGTGGACTTGAAAATGGTAAACTTTCTATTGGGCCAGCAAGGAGGGTACACAAAATACCCCTGTTTTCTGTGCTACTGGGACAGCAGGGCTGCAGCAGACCATTGGGTGAAAAAGAATTGGCCACCAAGACATAGTTTGACGCCTGGTGACAAGAATATCATAAACGATCCTCTGGTTGACAGGAAAAACATTGTACTTCCTCCTCTGCACATAAAACTTTGTATCATGAAGCAATTCGCCAAGGCTCTTGATCATAGTGGAGAGTGTTTCAGATATATATGCTCAACCTTTCCAAGTCTTAGCGACGAGAAGAAAAAGGCAGGGATTTTTGATGGACCTCAAATAAGAACACTACTCAGAGATCCACACTTCCTTGCAACAATGACTGAGGCACAGGCAAGAACTTGGAATGCTTTCTCTAATGTGGTGCAGAACTTCTTAGGGAACAAGAAAGCGGACAACTATCAAGAAATTGTGGAAGAGCTGCTCTTGAGTTTACAAGCACTTGGATGCAGAATGAGTATCAAGGTTCACTACTTACACAGTCACTTGGACGAGTTTCCAGAAAATCTGGGAGAAGTGAGCGAGGAGCAAGGGGAGCGCTTTCATCATGACATTAAAGTAATGGAAGAACGTTACCAAGGTCGATGGGACTCGAACATGATGGCGGACTACTGCTGGAGTTTGATGAGAGACATTCCAGAAGCTGTACATAAGAGATCGGCCAAAAAGAGGAAGTTTATGTAACTGTAACTTGATCTTAATACTTGCACTATTTCTACCGTACATTAATTGTTTTTTTCACCCTTCAATGTTACATTTAAATATTATATGTGCATTAACTTTCCAATTTGATATTAACATTTTTTGGTTATAGAAAAATACAAATTATAATGCTGAAAAAATTTATGTATACATGTTTAAACCGTCAATTTTGATCCAAAAGTTTACGTTTCCCAGCAAAAGTGCAATATGGTATATCTCAAAAACCTGATGTGATAGACAAAAACCAAAGTCATATTTGGATTCTGCACCCCAAATTTACTTAAAATCCGTTTATGAACCCTGTGCCAGAAAAATTGTGTTGACCGGTGTAATATGTTACATAAATTTATTTGTCAGTGGCCCAAGGTTAAAAATGCTTTGAAAACCTTTGATCTAGATGTATGATAGTTATTTAGTGGGTCCCTTATTTTTTGACCTGACCTGACTAGTCACGTCGCCCCCTTCTCTTAATAATAATAATAATAGTAACTAACGGTTTATTGAAAAAATTCTGCAGCCCGAAGGCTGAAAATATACATTGGACATAAATGACTTATTACATACATTGGTGGTTTAACAAAAGCCTTCATTAGAGAAAGGTAAAGTGAACATACAGATTAATGTAGGTGTTGAACAGCAAACTCGTAGTGTAGTAACTCCCTCCCAGATGGTGTTAGGAGGAACTCACGTGGTGTAGTAATTCCCTCAGATGGTGTTATGAGGGACCTCACGTGGTGTAGTAATTACCTCACAGATGGTGTTATGAGGGGCATCACGTGGTGTAGTAATTACCTCACAGATGGTGTTATGAGGGGCCTCACGTGGTGTAGTAACTCCCTCACAGATGGTGTTATGAGAGGCATCACGTGGTGTAGTAATTCCCTCACAGATGGTGTTATGAGGGGCCTGACGTGGTGTAGTAATTCCCTCACAGATGGTGTTATGAGGGACTTGACGTGGTGTAGTAATTCCCTCACATATGGTGTTATGAGGGACATGTGGTGTAGTAATTCCCTCACAGATGGTGTTATGAGGGACTTGACGTGGTGTAGTAATTCCCTCACATATGGTGTTATGAGGGACATGTGGTGTAGTAATTCCCTCACAGATGGTGTTATATGAGTGAGGTGTGGTCTTAGGCCTTCCTATCGTAGACGGATTAACACCTCGCTGGTTGTTGTTGGGGTCTCACGGGCCGTTATCACTGGGTACCTGGGACCTCACTGTGTGAAGGTTAACTTGGTTACGACTGTTACTGTTGAGTTGTTCTCGCTGATTTAAGCACTGTTCACCACTGTTCACCTCTGTTTAACACTGGTTCCGTTCCTTTCCTAAATGAAATTGTAACTTCTGGCGAGAACTTGTTGATATTCCGGTGGGGAGGAGGGTTCAGGGGAGGGGGTTGGTATGGGCCAACTTAACAGTTGACCTGGCTGCACCGAGAGGAGCGCCAGGTACGTCTTGACCCTTCGGTGTGTGTAGGAGTTGGTGTGGGGATTAGTGGATGACATCATTATGACCTGACTTCGTGTTTAATAAGGTCACCCTGCATATTTAAGCCTCTCTCTGTCAATGTAATCCAGTTGCCTCTGAAGATGTCTTGAATTAAGACGAAAGCTAAGGTGCTCCCTTGTTTCCCTTTTCCCGTGTGATTTTATCAGTATATATATATATATATATATATATATATATATATATATATATATATATATATATATATATATATATATATATATATATATATATATATACATCGAAACCTCAAAGTCACTTTGACACCTGTCACGAGGGTGGCGTTGATAAAGCTGAAACATGGGCAAAGGTCGGCATACACATTCTTGTCTACCTGATGTAAGATACATCAACGCTAATATCCTTTTCTTTCGATAATTCTGTTATTGTTTGCTCTTAAGTCAGTTTGTTCAATAGTGCTATATAGCAAACACCTAACTTGAACAAATATATTGTTATATCATATATGACCACATTAACTGTTATGTTTAAACAAATTTATGTTAAAGATGTCACGGTGATGCCTCTGACCTTCACCAAGTTTTAGGTGCGGTTCACTAGAGGTGAGCTGAAGCAACAAAAAGTGTTAGTAAGATGTCTCAAGAATAATACCAAACATTGAAACATAAAGGGATAACAATCACGGTACGATAAGTGCTACTCAAGTACCTGTATATATTTACAGGCAGCCGGGCACCCTGGCAATTCTCCGCTAGGTGGACAGCCCACCTGCTATCTCCCCCTCCCACTTTTCTTCCCGTTTCTTTGCTTTACTTCTCTCTCTCTCTCCTCTCCTTTCCCAGTGCAAAGTCATTTGCCACTTTACTTCATAATCATCATCATCATCACCCTGGCAATTGAGCAAGGAGAGATCAGTGCATACTGTACTGTACGCTGAGGTAAGACATCGCTTTAGTATTTTATTTCTTTCTTAATTCGTCGTATTTTGTGTTCTGTGTCGGTTGTATTGGGATGAAAGGTAGGGACAAATTTAAGACTGTCAGGATTATTTGCTGTGACAGAGAAGTATAATTAAATCTGACAATGTCGTTGGGATTTGTGAAAGCTAAGATAGTTTTCAGTATTTTTTTGTACAAAACAATTTGCCTGATCTTTAGTGAGTGGTAAACTGAACAGTGTTCATCTTAAGCAGCAGAAGGTCAACAACACATTCTTTGGTGAGAGCGATCATTAGTGCTGTATATTCTTACTGTTATGACAGTGATTCCCCAACTTACTTAGGTCATGGTTCGCTTCATAATGACACCACCTTGCCTGATTCCAAAATAACTTCATGAGACATCTACTGAGGTCATAGGATAGAAACACAAACCAAAAGCAATTTAAATTGTTCACCCAACTCTGCTTCCACAGTTAAAACCACATAAAATTGAAATGAATATCCAGCGAGCCACTCAATCCGTGGCTAGGATTACGACAATGCCATTGAGGCATCAAATGACACATCCAGCCTGTTCCGGCTCTTTGTTTCACGCGTAGAAAGCAGGAAAAATTTATCTTGCACAAGTATATCATTGATAATGGACGAGTTGTAGGTTCTGGGTAAACACAAGAAATACACTGCAACGTCCGTAGAGTGATACAGTATATAAAATCTGTAATAATAGTTTATAGTCCTGCTATAATAGTCGAGATAAGTTTATTTCTCTAGAAACAAGGCCGCCATTTGCAATGACGTCACTTCCTTCCCTGCGGACGACGCAGTAGAAAGGATGGCCTCCTCAAACCCCAGATAAGTTTTAATTTTTTTTCTGGTCTAAGTCATGGACATTTCGTAAGCAAAGAAATGTACCGTAAAGAGCAGCTTCAAACATAGGTTGGATGGATATATGAGGGATAGGGGTTGGGTGTAAATGGAACTGCCCAGTATGGGCCAATAGGCCCGCTGCGGTTTCCTCCATTCTTATGTTCTTATGGATATAAAAAACTTCAATGTTCACACCAGCTCAGCTGTCATATATTCTTACCTCGTAGACTTTTGCTTCTTTTTTTCCAGTGCATTTACAGGGTATATCAGTACTAGATGGAGATTCGAGTCAATTTAGAAGTAATGACATTGTCTAACAACATAGTGCTGTTATTGTTTTGATGATTCACAAATGAACCCCTGGGATATATCATCATTTATATTAATTCGTGGGTAAAACTTTACTTTAACTACCATAAGTATTTGGATGCCTAGATTCGAGACAGGCTATGTTGGGAAAATTTTAAGTCTTGGTCATGCCTGTACTTAGACATGCAGACTATGATTTTCTGGTGGTTTGCGATGTGTTATGAACGATTTAGACCTTCATTTTATCGGAAATCACTCGTTTTGAGTCACTACCCCCCCCCCCTTACCGGTGTATGTTAAGCTAATCTTATAACTTATAATATAACTTATCATATCCTAACCGAACTTGTGACCTGTATTTTCTTTTGAGATCGAGAAATGTTTTGCGACAGAAATCCCGTAGAGATAATATGTCTTATTGTTTAAAGTACATAATCCCATAGTTAGAATCTAAGTCTAGAATTCAGAACGCTGGTTTGAAACCGCATGAAGGTTTAAACCAAGGATCGAGCTAATATTGTTGGTATTCAGAACGCTGGCTTGAGCCAACACAAAGATTCAAACCGGGTTTGATATCGGAGATGTCGATCCTCGCGTTAATCCAGCCTGGAGGCAGGTTTAGCTGTAGATCCGTCATTCAAGATAGCAAGTTAACAAGAATTTTGACAAAGAGCGCTCTTTTCGGGATTTATCCTCAAATTGGAAATTTTGTAGAAAGAAGACTGATTGCAAATAGGCAGAACCCTATAAATTTTTATGATAACACGCAATGCAGACAACGATATAGGTTCAGCAAGGAAGATTTCTTTGATATTTTCCGTGATATGGAGTATCTACTTGACAGATTCGTTGCTTATCGTTTACCTCTCCCTTCCATTCATCAGCTGATGATTACTTTGCGATTCTTTACAACGAATAGTTTCCATATGAGAAATATTCTGGTTACTGAGTGAGTTATGTTGTAATGTGTTTTGCAACACTTTTGTGTTTAGGGTCCATGAAGATCAAGCGGGTAAATGTAAAGAACGCTGACGATTCCTTATTTTGAGAGTTTAGTTTAGGAAAACTATTTGGATGTATTTTCAATATAATTGAATCAATGCTGAGTGCATTTGATTTTAATGTATTTTTAAAGGAAATTTTTTTTCTTAACATTACTAATCAGGGAAAATGTGGGGTTAAGAGAACAGAAAGAAGCCTCACCTAACATAAGAAGAACATAAGAAAATAAGGAGTCTGCAATAGGCCGGTTGGCCTGTGCATGGCAGCTCCTATCGAGAGTTACTACTACTCTCTATCCAAATTTTATGCTTTTATCATCAAAGGCACGATTCATCCACATATCTGCTCCGCTATAATTCGAATCAGTGTGTAACTGATGCGAATGACTCTCCTCGGGGGAGGGTATACAAAGATTAAGTAACAGTACCAACGTATGGATGAACAGCAACATTTATTGGGTAACGTTTCGACATATCTATTGACATCATCAGACCTAAAACAAATTAAATACAAGAGTATCGAAACAAATGTGACAAATATAATAAAATACATAAATCGCTAAATACATTTAGAGAACAAAAATCTTTGAACAACAAACCATTGAGTTATTAATTATTAACTTTACTACAATTTATTTATACAGAGCAAAACAGTAAAATGAACAAAAGCTTAGAACCTATCGGTGAATATGAAAAAAATAGCAAATATCTTACAAAAGGCAAGAACAAAATAATAATGTGGAGAAGTGGGTGCCCAGTATTGGCTGTACTCGGTGGGTGGGGAGCGACTCTACTGTGATTCTTGTCATGTCGCAGGGGCAAGTGGTGATGATGGTGAAATAACTCTGCCTTAATATTTGAAATCTTTATTCCTTGTGATAACTATTAGCTAGTTCGCTCGCTACGCCGACATTATTGATGAGATTTCCTCTGACAGACCTAAATAAGTATATTATTCCCCGGGTAGGTATAAGTATTATCACGTAATATGTACATATTGTTTAAATGGACGCTGTATCAGTTTACTGTAATGTCAGAATTCGACTTCCTTCCATTTTGCCAGACGTAATCAATACCTTAAATCAGCACACATCACTTCCGATCATGGAATACTTAAGCGATGGGTTAACAGTGTGGAGTGAATTTGAACAGTGGGTGACGTTTTCAATAGACATCTGTTGTATCTCTGTATAACATATCCCCAGAAGAGAGCCCTATTTTTATACTTAAGTGTTTGACTTCTCCTTTGCTGGGTGTCGTGAGGTGACCCGCTGAACAATAAAGGCGAGACCGGCTTTGCACCCCTCACCTCAATTGTACTGTACCACGAACTTCTGTGTTGAACTGTACATCTGATAAGGCACTGTGACGTGACGTGAGTCCCAGAAGTGGAGAGGAGGTATTGGAAACAACCACAGCAACAACGACAACAACAACAACAACCATAGCTAGACCTCGTGGGCAAGCATGGAACGGGACTATGCCTACATATGGGTCGAACTTGTGAAACTAGAGTCGGGAGTGACGTTGTGTGGCGCCACTGGAAAACGGATGTGTGATTGTTTGTGGAGTCCCGCCAAAAATGGGACGTGGTGAGTCCATGGTACCGAGGACAGGGAGAAGCAGGTTTGACGTGACTGAGGAAAGAAGGACACGGTGCCTACGGTGTTCAACACAGGGATACAGACATAAACTTGAGTATACATTGTGTTAAGTTGAGTGTGTGAGTGAATTAAGGAAAGTGGAGGAAAGTAGGATATAATATTTTTGAGTATAGGCTTAAGGGATATCAATATTATAATGGTGAATAAGTGATCATGGGCCCTTCGTGCCGGGTGGCGAGTACGGTAGTACAGTTTACCGAGGCGTGAAAGTTTGAACGTTCTACTTGGCTAGTGGGCAACCGCCGTCCGGCTGACAGCTTACACGGACATTGTTTTCCAGCGTAAATAAAATGGTTAATTAATGCCTTCCTAAAGAACCATCTACATGGGACCAGGCTTGTTCCACTCTACGAATTTTTTGCGATTTTTCCACCAAGTTTGATGAAAAATGATTGTGCCGTTTCGGCTGCCCAGAACAGACACACACACAGACACACGGCTATTCCTATAGTATATTATAATCATGGTCGTGGTTGTTATAATCATGGTCGTGATTGTTATAATCATGGTCGTGGTTGTTATAATCATGGTCGTGGGGGTTATAATCATGGTCGTGGTTGTTATAATCATGGTCGTGGTTGTTATAATCATGGTCGTGGTTGTTATAATCATGGTCGTGGTTGTTATAATCATGGTCGTGATTGTTATAATCATGGTCGTGGTTATTATAATCGTGGTCGTGGTTGTTATAATCATGGTCTGGTTGTTATAATTATGGTCGTGGTTGTTATAATCATGGTCGTGTTATTATAATCGTGGTCGTGGTTGTTATAATCATGGTCCTGGTTGTTATAATTATGGTCGTGGTTGTTATAATCATGGTCGTGGTTGTTATAATCATGGTCGTTATAATCATGGTCGTTATAATCATGGTCGTGTTATAATCATGGTCGTGGTTGTTATAATCATGGTCGTGGTTGTTATAATCATGGTCGTGGTTGTTATAATCATGGTCGTGGTTGTTATAATCATGGTCGTGGTTGTTATAATCATGGTCGTGGTTGTTATAATCATGGTCGTGGTTGTTATAATCATGGTCGTAGGTAATCATGGTCGGTTGTTATAATCATGGTCGTGGGTGATATAATCAAAGTCGTGGTTGTTATAATCATGGTCGTGGTTGTTATAATCATGGTCGTGGTTGTTTTAATCATTGTCGTTGTTATAATCATGTCGTGGTTGTTATAATCATGGTCGTGGTTGTTATAATCATAGTCGTGGTTGTTATTATCATGGTCGTGGTTGTTATAATCATGGTCGTGGTTGTTATAATCATAGTCGTGGTTGTTATTATCATGGTCGTGGTTATGATCATAGTCTTGGTTGTTATAATCATGGTCGTGGTTGCTATAATCGTGGTCGTGGTTGCTATAATCGTGGTCGTGGTTGCTATAATCGTGGTCGTGGTTGTTATAATCGTGGTCGTGGTTGTTATAATCATAGGAACCACGAGATACAAGCGGTATACTTTCATCTAACGCAAAAAAAATATATATGTTAGTTTTACAGCCTCATCGTTCGTGACTTAGCTTCAGCAAACTTACCAATTATTTCATCAAAATTAATTGTCTTGGCACATTAATTTTCGATAGAAATCATAGCTAGGCTGTTCAATCTTGATTGAGTCATGCTAGAACGAAGATAATTCTTGATGAGTTTCAGTTTAGAGAAACTTCTTTCACATGATGCAACAGACACACATATTGTTAAAAAGAATCTCAGGCACATTGACAAGTTTGGCAAGGTTTCACAAAAGTCCCATTTGACAATAAACTTCAGGAACTGCAAGACTATCTATTTATTTGCTTCTTCAGGTGTGATTTTGGCAGCCTCCATGTGTCTGCGAAGTCGCATAATTTCTACCATGACATCCTCATCAGAAATTTCATTAAAAATTTTGGTCATGCTTGAATTTGAAATACTCCCCTGAAGTTGTTCTTCTTTTGCAGAAAGCAAGTAGCTTGGCTGAATAGCTGCAGATATTGACAAGATGTTATCCATGGCATCTGAACGAACATCCAATTCTAGACTAAATCGATCTAAGCATTCAAACATTGATCTCCTCATTTCCTCTTGCATTGTCAGTCCAGCATCCCTAGCCATCTCTCCTGGCATCATTTTCTTACGTCTTATCCTCCCTCTTGTTTCCATGGAGATGCCCATTTCTTCACATTGTGTAGTTGCATATTGAATCGCTCTCTCCACAATTTCATTCCGTTGACCTCGAAAAAACAATTTCAAACCATTGAGCTGTACAGTGCACTTTTCAAGACTTATTCCTTCTGTTTGCAAATACTTCTGTGTGAGATTCACTTCTTCCAGTACATCACACCAAAAAGAAAGATAACCCAAAAAATAAAAATCACATACAGCTTTAAGCAAAACTTCAGCCGATCCTCTTGTGCCAACATTTTCTCTTTGATCCGTCAATGTTTCCAGGGCTATGATTAGCTTCTCAAATTGTTTCTTGAGAGGCCTTACGGCATCATGATGTGCACTCCATCTAGTCTGAGAAAGTCTTTTGACTATCAGGTTCATATTTTCTTTCAGTACTTTCCATCGGTGAGTTGAAAGTGAAAAAAAAACAATAAAGTTTCTCTACAGTTCCAAAGAATGTTACACATAAAGGATTGGTTCCAAAAGAGTGTACCCCGCAAAGGTTCAAGGAATGATTGGCACAAACAAAACCTTTGGATCTATTTCTTTGATTTTCTTCTGAACACCTCCGTGAATACCAGCCATAGTTGCAGCATTATCATATCCTTGACTGCGGCAAAAGTTAATGTCCAGTCCATCACTCTCCACATTACTCATGATATCCTTTGTGAGCTCATCTGCAGTTTTTCCAGCAATAGGAAAGAAACCCAAGAAAGATTCCCTTACTTCAACAGAATCACCTTCAATATGAACATATCTAATCACTTCGGACATCTGATCTGTATGAGAAATATCAGGTGTACTGTCAAAAATTATTCCAAAATACTTGTCCTTCTTGATGTCAGCCAAAATTTTTTCTTTAACATTATTTCCTAGAAGACAGATGAATTCAGTCTGAACATTTGGTGACAAATAAGAGCTCACTCTCCTTCCAGATGTCTCAGATGGAATAGCATGCTTAAACTTCAAAAGATGTTCTTTCAAAACAGGTTCATAGTTTGATAGTAACTCCACCAGTTCCAGGAAATTGCCTTTGCTTATTGATAACATATCCTCCCTATGACCACGTAAAGGAAGGTTCTGTCGAGCTAGAAACATAGTCACATCCAAAAGACGATGAAGTATGTCCCTCCATTTCTTCCTCTCTCTGGCCATTGCAGTTCTTTTGAGCTTTAGTCCTGCCTCATGGCACCCCCCTCTGGCTGTCACCCGGGGCGGACCGCCCCCCGCCCCCCCTTAGTACGCCACTGATGGTACTGTAATGTATTGTATCCAGCTGACAGCGTACAGCAGCGAGTGAGGGTGCGCCAAGTCCGTAGACTTGCATGGCTAATTAGGGTGCATCGTTTTTCATCGTAAATAAAATGGTTAATTAATGGCTTCCTAAAGAAACCATCGACATGGGACCAGGTTTGTTCCACTCTTCGAATTTTTTGCGATTTTTCCACCAAGTTTGATGAGAAACGATTGTGCCGTTTCGGCTGCACAGACAGACAAACAGACATACATTCGGATAGTCCTATAGTATATTAGAAGAACGGTGATGATTCATGAACATTTGTTTATTAAAGTGAATACTGAAAGTGACTTAGTGAAAGAATTAACTGGGTGAATTTATATAATTTTCTTTGTGTGTTTGTTAACATTGCATCGATTTGTTTACCCAGCTATAGTTATTATTTGCTCGAGTGTCACTTAACGGTACTTGTGTTCATGCTTGCTGAGTTGAGAGTATTCCAAGCCGGTTTATACTTAGTGAACCTATCTTCTGTTTGATTAATGTTTATTATGAAGTCTTGTCAGAGGATTTACTCCTTTTGCTAAAGGATTAGTTTTCTCGTTCACCCTGTGCATTTCTTATTCCTTAGTGATTGATTTTCTTGCATATATGTTTGTAACCCCACATTTGTGAGATACTTTGGTATTGCACACCTTAGTGTAACATCACTTTAAGTGCTACTTTGGCGACCTTGTTACTCTCTACTCTGTTGCCGGAGTGGGGAAAACTATGATTTGACACATTCTGGGACCACCATTCCGTAACAGCACTCATTTAAAGGAATAAAACCTGTGAATATTTTCTTGCAAGACGAAAAATGAAGCAATATATTCCGTTGGATAGGAAACTGCTTGTTTTCTTACAGTAATGGTTATTAGTAATCTAGTTGCTTTGCCTTTACGTGACCTTAGAGTTTACATCCATTAATATAATTACGCAAACTAATACTTCAACAACACAAAGAAAATAACCGAAAAGATATGGAGTAAAATTGATCTGCAGTTGTGTAAATCATTGTTTGTGTTCCGTATATCACATGTTTTACACTTAAAATAATCAAGTATGGTTTAGGGTTATCGTCCTTCTCCGACAGAAACAGTTAGACAACAGAGACGGCAGGATGTTGGTGGAACTGTTACTGTTGGTAGCGCTGTTCTTCCTGCTGTGGAGGTTCTTCAAGAAGACTGACGGAATGCCCCCGGGTGAGTGGTTACCTACATTGTTACCTTACCCCTCCATATTGTTTTCCATAACCTCTACAATACAATAAACTTATGTAAGATGCATGAAATTATTGAGGGAAATATATTCTTAAGTGCTGCCACCGCTTCGAAAATTCAGTAACATTAACAATTCATGAATAATCTCCATTTCCTGTTCTCAAACCTCTATGTTACCTAGAACACTGTAGGATCCATCAGGTTTCATCGTGTACAACAACGAGTGTAAAGCCCCGTCCACACGATCGAGCAGTTCCCGGCGGGCTTTGTCAGTTTACCGGGCAAAGCCTGTGTGTTGTTGTACACACGGGGGTGGTTGGCGGCAGTCATAGTCGGGCGCCGGTAGCTAGTACGTGGTCGGCTAGTAGGTGTGTCGCAGGAATAATCGCCGGACAGTTACAGCGAAGAGCATAGCGTTGTGTTCTATAATAATTGTTACTGTGTGCAAAAATAAGAACCAAATGCAGAAAAGGGAATGGTGGAAAGAGTGTTTAGGTCGAAGAAAAGTATTGGGAAGTCATGCCACGATTTTACGTGAACTGCAAGATGGACATGAGCAAGACTTCACCAATTACATGAGAATGGACCCCAACACCTTTTACAAACTTCTAGCGAAAGTGGAACCATACAGTATATAAAAAAAACAGGATACCAATATGAGGGAGAGTTTATCTGCAGAGGCTCGTCTAAAGTCAACGCTCATATATCTTTCAACTGGGTGCACCTACATGTCACTTCAGTATAGAACGAGGATATCAAAACAAAGTTTGTCTCACATAATACCTGCAACTTGTCAAGCCATGTATGAAGTACTCAAGGAAGATTACTTGCAGGGGAGATTTGTAGTACATAACAATTCATTGAATAATGTTAGAATTATGATATGCATAGACAGGAAGCTATGGGACTAGAGTGAGGAGAGCGGCAGGAACGAAGAACACACAAATGTCCTCATTACATAATACATAAACAATTTCCCGTTTATTGTCACGCCAATAATGTACAGTGCACAAGCTTATTTGGTTATACACTAGACATCTGGACCGAGTGGGGAACATATACGTATCACACTTGCAGTATTCAGAGTCGTCTCTCCATATCCGGCAGCAAACCACCAGGCAGGCTGACCATGATTTCGCTCAACGACGGGCACGGGCACGCCCCTGGTTTGCCTGCCACTTTTGCCCGATAAAGGGCATTTAGCGAGTGCCCGCCGGGCACTACTCGATCGTGTGGACGGGCCTTAACAGTCACCTGTTGCCCGAACCCCACCACATTTTTTTCAAAGTCTTAGGTATTCAAGATACTTTCGTGTTTCGTGGTTTGATACTGGGTCCTGCTGGTCTTTTATGCTGGACAAATATGTCCATCGACATTCTGTATAACTTCCGCTTAATCTATATATTCAAATTTTCTTCCAGTAACAGGCAGCTCCTCTCTTCATAAACTTTTATGAGTAAATTCTCCACCAGGACGCTGGGGACTTCCTCTGATTGGCTACATCCCGCTAACAAGGAAGAGGATACATGATCAGCTATTCGACTTACACAAGAAGTACGGCGACATATATGTGTGAGTAGCGCAGCTTTGTGTCTATAGCGCCTACCTCTACCTGCAGTGGTCGGGCGGGAATGAATGGAAAACAAATAAACCTTTCTCAGGTCCTCCACCATGTAAGAGACTTTTAAACTTTTTTCAAGTCGCCTTCACATTTGTCTGTATATGCAAATTATGGGTTCTTACGGTTATAAATTAAAAAAAAATATGATAAAATATGAAATGATCTACAAGGATTTCGCAATTGTTTCCAAGCACTATTCTATGATGATACGACATTAACACACGAAATTATACGAAAGGTAGACATCAAATTTTTAAATGTTGGATTTAGTGCTTATTCATAAGGTTACTTACTGGTGAACCTTTCTGTATGTCGATGTAGTTGAAATTGTAAAATATTGGATCATCTTTACTATTTAAGTAGAGACTACTGGCACAGTTAATGTACCAGTTTTATTGTGTAGAGTGAAATGTTAAACCAAATATCTTGTTATCACTTAGGTAAATGTATCATGCATAATGTTTGTGGTGGCAACAACACCTGAAGTAAAGTGAATTGTCTATCGAAGGAGGGCACTATGTTCTTTAAGTCATATATTAAGTAAACCTTTTTGAATCACACAACCAGTATTATATACGGTGTATTTTGAGTTAGTGAGGTTATATTACACCAGATGAGAAGTCAGGACTGGGTACGAAAATGTGTTTGGTAGATAAATGTTACGATGATGAAAACAAAATCGATATTTGATGTGAGAGTCTCAGAAATATTTCACAAAACTTTTTTTTTCACAGATGGAGATTCGGGACGCAGGTGATTGTGATTCTCCATGACTACCAGCTAAACAAGGACGCTTTTGCTAGTCAGGATTTCATCGACAGACCTCCCTGGAATTTTTTTCGGTATGGGGAAGAAACTGCCAGCGGTAAGTCCATCGATTGCATTCTATCTCCGAGTCTTCTGTTGTGTTGAAAAGGCTGTGGTTGTTCTAGGCCGAGTTGGAAGATGTAAGTGCCCTTTGTGGAGGGGGAACCGAGTTGCCTGTAAGTGAAAAGGAAACTATGCTGCTGCCTTTAGGTGAAAGGAGAAACTGTGCTGCTGCCTTAAGTGGAGAGGGAACTGTGCTGCTGCCTTAAGTGGAGAGGGAACTGTGCTGCTGCCTTAAGTGGAGAGGGAACTGCGCTGCTGCCTTTAGGTGGAAGGAGAAACTGTGCTCTTGCCATTAAGTGGAGAGGGAACTGTGCTGCTGCCTTAAGTGGAGAGGGAACTGTGCTGCTGCCTTAAGTGGAGAGGGAAGGTTTATTTGGTTTATATTCGTGTTTAATGGCATATCATCTCCCTTTTTTCTTGCAAATAATTAGAAATTCCATATCACCCCTTAAGTCTTGAGAAAAATTATAGGCAGCAAGATTTGTATCTTGTCTTAATATGCCTGATAACCCTATAATATTTTCGGCCAGCAAAATTACCCGGCTTTGTTCAGGTTAAGTATATACTGTACAACGTTTACAGTCACCTTTCCTGACGCAGGTACCTAACCTAACCTAACCCATAACTGGAATAAACAGACAGACAAGACAGACAGACATGTCATTTTATCTGATTTATTTATTCTATAGGCTTAAAGATCATATTAACCCCAAACAAACTTATCATGATACTTTGAATAGCTATAACTTGTTATAAGCTACAATTTGTGCATATCTTATCTATCTATTGTAATAGAAGGATGTGTCTGTCTGCCTTTCTGTCTGTCTATCTGTCTGTCTGTCTGTCTGTTTCAGCCATAACTCCAATATGGAAGCATGTGATAGCTGTTTTGGTATCACACTAATTGAAATAATTAAGTTCTGGAACTCTTAAGTTGGCAGGGCTTGATGTAAACACTTCTTAGCATTTTCTGTTTTACTGCCGATCTGCAGGTGCAATCTGAGAGAATATATTATAAATTCTCTCCAGGGAAGTATTTTAAATAGCACTTTGAGATAACACTGAGTTAAGTGCCCAGCTTCCCTGTCCAGAGATAGTGAGAGAACTGCCACTTCCTTAGTGTGAGAGAGGGCCAGTTGTTTTGCTAAATCAGCTGACCCTGGCTCGATTCTTGAGAGAGATGCAAGCCAAGTGATTTAAAGTCGTGAATTACATGGTGTATCACTTGGTGAATAACTTGGTGTTATTCATTTTGGTGCGTATTTATTAAAAGCAAAGGCAGTCCAGAGAAGAATAAAAAATCTTCCCTGACTGAGATATCGCTAAGGTAATTGTGGGGGTTGGTTACCTGTATAAGGGACGATTAGCTTTTACAGTCAAGGCTCTATAGTATTTATCGAACCAAGGCGAAGCAGAGCAGTTTTGCTAGCAATTTTTAATAAATGTAATTTTAGAAAAGTTTGGTTCATTATTTTACATCAATTTAGACATGGATTTATTTGATCTTTCTGATCACTTTATAGAGATTAGATGTCACCACTAAGCCACGTGCAAATGACTGTGAGTGACATGTTGCATTTGCTTGTGAGTGATGTTACAGTAAATAGGATTTACGTTTAACTATGATTTTTTATAACAACAAAAGCTGCTACAGCTACTGATTTACATGTGAATCATCAGCTGGTGTCATCTTGGTCACCAACACTGAGATAACACTTTTACGACTAGGTGAATCATGCTTCACGTTCCTCAGGCAAGGCACCGAAACATTAAACTACTGACCACCAACTTCTAATAAAACAACATAAAACTTTTATTCAGGTGTTTTATTTCCGTTGTGATGTGTGTTAGTTTCGTTAATTTATGCTTAATGAGCCTCTTATTCCTCTCATATTAAATGTTTTTTTTTTCAAAAATAAATTTGAAGTTTCTGTGACTCCATTTTCTGTGTTGGTGACTCTTACAGGTGTGATAGCATCTGGCGGGTCTCTGTGGCATAATAACCGACGCTTCGTTCTGCGTCAACTGCGGGACCTCGGGATGGGTAAGTCCAGGATGGTGGCAGCAGTGCAGTGGCAGGGTACACAGTTGGTGCAGCAGCTCAAGAACCAAGCAGGAAGACCTGCACCATTGCCTCACGCCCTTGAAGTCGCTATTGTTAACGTCATCTGGCAGATGGTCGCTGGTGAGTAATATCTCTCTCTCTCTCTCTCTCTCTCTCTCTCTCTCTCTCTGTATATATATATATATATATATCAAGATTTATCTTATCCACGTTTTCATTGTGGATTTACATGAAATAAATAAATAAATAATAAATATATATATATATATATATATATATATATATATATATATATATATATATATATATATATATATATATATATATATATGTAATGAGACAAAATCTCACATGAAGAGGTAAGTTAGGAGTTTATAGTAGTAGAGTATTATAGCGAGAGGAAATGGTAGCGTGTCTCGAGGGTATGATGTCAACACTGTATATTAACACAGGCACAGTACAAGTGTAGTATATAAAACACCAATGCATGTTACAGCTTTATTTTACTAGTTCAATAGGGGGGATTAATAGGGGGGGGTTCGTACACAATTTATGATAGACTATGGTATTCTCGTATAACCTAACCTCACAATTAGAATGGGCACTTCACTAAGTCGATCGTTGGGGAGGTTCGGGATCACTGCACTTCTACAGTCTACACAGCCAGCACTTACTGTTACACGTGGAGTTGACAGCACTTTGTCGATGGACCCAGCTGAGACTTCGTTACACTTAGTGGTGGGCTTCTCTGCCGAGCGGGACTGGGGACGTGGTAGCTGGCTCTCCCTGGTTACAAGACAACTCCCTCTCTGCGAATCCCCGAGGGAGGACCAGGACGTCCTATATATTGGGATGCGAGCCGTCAGGTTCAGCTGGCAGGGGGGGGGCGCGGCGAAGGGTCTCCTTACATTTGACCTCGCAAATGTGAGGTCAGGTCTGGACTTTTCAGAACTATCTGGGAAAGTCATCAGGTGGGGCCGTGTGTATATTGGGAGAGCAACCGTGAGAGTTCCCTACACTTGACCTCCCAAACGTCGGGTCAGACTGGAGTTTCTGAGATGTAAGGAGAAGTCATCAGGTGGGGCCGTGTGACACGAGAGGCCCTGGTTGATTTGTGGCCCCTTGAGTTGGGCTCCAAGGGTTACATTTGACCTGGCTAATGTGAGGTCAGGTCCGGCCTTTGTTCAGAGAGTAGGTTATTGTATATTGGAAGAGAGTCGGCTGGTGCCTTCTTACATGTTTTGTTGGGGCCACATGTCACATGGGAGGGGAGCTAGGCTGATTTACAATCCTTGGTCAACCGCAGAGTTACCCTATACTTTTGACCTCGGCTAATGTCGGGTCAAGTCTGGCTTTTCTCGCGATGTAAGCTGTGGTCTGACAACCATCACTACATATATATATATATATATATATATATATATATATATATATATATATATATATATATATATATATATATATATATATATATATATATATATATATATATATATATATATATGTGTGTGTGTTTATGTATGTAACCGGTCGGAAATATTCCTATTGGGTTTTTTTATTTGAAAATGGATGGTAATGCAATGGAAGGGCCCCTCCGAATACCGAACCAGCACAAACAAAAATTATTAAAATTATTTACCGTGTCCTGGTCTGGTGTTCCTGAGATTGGGTTTAAAGAGACGTACTGGTAATGATATGACACCTGTATTACTCCAAGCACCACCCTGACAGCACCAAGAAAAAGATCTTAATTCTTACAAGAGACAATTAGATAATTTTCTCAACATGTCTTACATCGCTAGTACAATAATTAAATTAAAAATATTACTGGTACAACAAATAAATTAATCACACAAGAGGAAAAGAATTTATCTGGACTAATTCCTCAACACATCTTACACAGCCATACACCACCATTAATAGCTCAACAAAGATATTACTTGTACAATATAAAGTATATCAATTACGCCAGACAAAATAATTCATATGGATAAATCATAGCATGTCCTAACCTTTCATCAGGGTCTGGAAACCTCACAAAAAATATTAGACCACTTGAAATATTATTTATAACTTCGACATAATGCACAGACCTCAGAGATTTTAACTAATAACCTGCTCAGTGGTATGCACATATAGAGAAATCCAAAGTTATGTTTTGACTGAGAAAATCACTCGTGAATCGTCAAGTAGGCGGCTTTTTCGCTTATTTTTATTACTCTACTTCTGGGTTCATGAGTCATGGGTGCTTTCCTCTACTGTTAGCATGCTCCACAATGTTGGCCCAGAATACACCATCACCTCAAGTGATACTACAGCACCAAACAATTCTTTAAAAGACACTCCTACGTCCATTGCGTGCAATCAACTATCAGGTCGTCGATCTCACACCAGGACTTGCTTAGACAAACCACATACACCCATAGCTGGAGAGATGAAGATGCCTAGTGCCCACTAATACCATGGAAATTTAGCTCTCACTAACACCATGGGAATTTCTGGTTTCCCAGAGTTTAACCCTTAATTTCAATCATTCTACACCCAGGTCAAGCTCACTCTCCATTACTTTATAGGAGGGGAAGACCGACAGCCCAAACCCGCCCAGTTAGGTCAGGCCACAATACAACCAGGTGAACCTTGCCCTAACTAAATTCTTTTTCCCGCCCTATCTAAACAATGTCTGCAATCGAACTGGATTTTCTTGTTGAAAGCGCATGTGGAGCGGGCACTTATCTCCTTGTCGCTTGTAGCAAAGCATTTGACAGAGTACCGCATCAGAGGCTTCTGAGAAAAGTTAAGGCTCATGGTATTGAGAGCAAAGTTTTAAATTGGATAAAATCATGGCTCACCGATAGAACGCAGAGGGTCAGCATAGATGGCGTTAAATCTGAGTGGGGCTGTGTAACCAGTGGGGTTCCCCAGGGGTCTGTACTGGGCCCACACTTGTTCATAATCTACATAAACGATCTATATACTGGGATCAGCAGTGACATAAGCAAGTTTGCAGATGACACCAAAATAGGGCGGCAGATTAATTCAGGGCAGGATGCAAATGCATTACAGGAGGATCTAAATAAACTGCAGGGGTGATCTGAAAAATGGCAAATGAAATTCAACACCAGCAAGTGCAGCGTACTTAATATTGGAAGAACAAATACTGATAATGTATACAGCCTTAACAACATCAACCTAGAGAAGGGGTACTTGTAAGCCCGGACCGACGGCCTAGAAAACAGTGCGTTAATGTACGAAATAAGGAAAACAGAGTATTAGGTTGTATATCTAGAAGTGTAAGTAATAAGAGTGCAGAGGTCTTATTACAACTATATCTTGTGCTAGTCAGGCCGCACCTCGATTATGCAGTTCAGTTCTGGTGCCGTTATTATAGAATGGGATATCAATTCATTGGAGTCGGTGCAGCGATGAATAAGGAAAATGATTCCGGGACTTAGAAACCTTCCATATCAAGAAAGGTTAAAGAAACCAAACTTGCATTCCTTAGAAAGACGAATAGTGCGGTGAGATATGATAGAAGTATTTTAGTGGGTGAAAGGAATCAATAGAGGAGATATAGATAAAGCTCTTGTATATCCGAGCAGGATAGGACTCGTAACAACGGATTTAAGTTGGATAAGTTTAGGTTTAGGAGGAAGATAGGAAGGAACTGGTTCACAAATAGGGTGGTGGACGAATGGAACAAGCTTAGCAACTTTGCAGTAAGTGCTGGAACGCTGGAAAGTTTCAAAAGGAGGCTGGATATATTCATGGATGATAGAGAGTGGTAGTAACTCTCGACAGGAGCTGCCTTGCACAGGCCAACCGGCCTATTGCAGACTCCTTATTTTCTTATGTTCTTATGTTCTTATGTTAGGTTAGGTTAGGTCAAGTTAGGTTAGGTTAGATCAGGTCAGGTCAGGTTAGATCAGATCAGGTCAGGTCAGGTTAGGTTAACTCAATAGTTGGAAGAGGAAGAAAGACATATATAGATTCAATTTCAAATAGATGGTGGGGAAATAGATTGTGTCAAGGAGGAACATGATGGACATTTAAAAATATATATATAATACCCAGGATTTATTCATAGGTTGTTTAAATGCCAAAAGCTCCAGGTGAGGAAATTTAGAGGTAAAATTAAAATAAATCGACTGAATAGGCATGGCTTCTATCTTCGGCTTAAGTGATGCATTGCAGGAGGATCTAAATAAACTGCAGGGGTGGTCTGAAAAATGGCAAATGAAATTCAACACCAGCAAGTGCAGCGTACTTAACATTGGAAGAACAAATACTTATAATGTATACAGCCTTAACATCAACAACCTAGAGAAGTCGACTTGTGAAAGAGACCTAGGGGTACTTGTAAGCCCGGACCTACGGCCTAGAAAACAGTGCGTTAATGTTCGAAATAAGGCAAACAGAGTATTGGGTTTTATATCTAGAAGTGTAAGTAACAAGAGTGCACAGGTCTTATTGCAACTATATCTTGCGCTAGTTAGGCCGCACCTCGATTATGCGGTTCAGTTCTGGTGCCCCTATTATAGAATGGATATAAATTTACTAGAGTCGGTGCAGCGAAGAATGACAAAAATGATTCCGGGACTTAGAAACCTTCCATATCAGGATAGGTTAAAGAAACTTAACTTGCATTCCCTAGAAAGACGAAGAGTGCGGGGAGATATGATAGAAGTATTTAAGTGGGTGAAACGAATCAATAAAGGGGATATAGATAAAGTTCTTATAATATCCGAGCAGGATAAGACTCGGAGCAACGGATTCAAGTTGGATAAGTTTAGGTTTAGGAGGGAGATAGGAAGAAACTGGTTCACAAATAGGGTGGTGGACGAGTGGAACAAGCTTAGCAACTTTGTAGTAAGTGCGGGAACTCTGGAAAGTTTCAAAAGGAGGCTAGATAGATTCATGGATAATAGAGAGTGGTAGTAACTCTGGACAGGAGCTGCCATGCACAGGCCAACAGGCCTATTGCAGACTCCTTATTTTCTTATGTTCTTGTGTAAGTGAGGCAAGAAGAGTTAGTGTGGGTGGACAGACAGACAGACAGACAGACAGACAGAGAGAGAGAGAGAGAGAGAGAGAGAGAGAGAGAGAGAGAGAGAGAGAGAGAG